TAAAGTATGGACTTTAACTGAATCTACTAGGCCTTCTCTATAGCCTAATTTTGTACCATTCTCATATATTTTGCGACCTTCTAAGAAAATTCACCAGCTGCTCCTTGGAAACCCTATACAGGGTCGGTATGGGTAGGAACGGACTCAATGGCACTTTACAACAGCAAAGAAGGTATACAACCAGAGCTTTCTTAGATAGAATAGCAATACCTGGCTGACTTAATTAGGATAGTTCAATGAAAGGCCAATCACTGGAAAAATACATGCTTGGTAAAGTAGAAGGTTTGCAAATTCCATCTCAGTTAGATGGATTGACACAGTAGCTGCAGCACTGGACTCAAACATGCCAACTATCATGAAGGACCATACAATATTTTTTTTGTTCTATTATACATAAAGTTGTTTCTTTGACAGACTCATTGGAAACTAACATCGATGTTTATAAAATGGGAATAATGAGACTTGCAGGAGTTTTTGTTGGTAACAAATAAGATAATGTTTTTGTAAGTCCTTAATAGTGTTAGTTTTTTCCCCCCATTTTACTATTGATTTTTTTTTTTTTTTGTCATTTTCTTTTTAGTGTGAATTGGGTGAAGGTTTACAGAGCAGCTCAATTTTCCATTCAACAATACACGTTTTGTTTCATCTCACTGCTTATCATTCCCCACCTCATGTATTCCACTTCCTTCTTGTGTTGCCTATTTCCATTCCTGCTCCTGTCTTAACCCTTCTAAACTTGGTTCTTGGGTAAAATGCTGCCCTTTAGATCTCCAATGGTTGATTATTCTAAGGTGGACGTACTTCCCAAGTATTATTATTCGCCGTATAGACCTGTCTGTTGTGTGGCTGAAAACAATAGGCTCAGGGGAGTGAGTTTTTTTCACACTTGAAGGGTGACTAAGAACCATAGTCTCAGGTTCTACCAGATCTAATCTGACCAGTAAGCTTGGCCTCTTTTTTTTTTCTTTAAATGATTTTGAGTTTTCTACATTTTTCTCCTACTCTATCCAGGACCTTCTATTGTAATCTCTTTCAGAGCAATTATTAGTGGTAGCCAGACCCCATCTAGTTCTTATGGTCTCATGGCTGTTGAGACTGATGTTCACGTGGTCTGTTAGTCCACTGGACTAATTGTTTCCATGTGTCTTCAATTTTCATCATTCTTCTTTCCTCCAAACAGGGAGAAACCAATAGTTGCATCTTGTTGCCATCGAGTCAGTTCCAACCCATAGTAATCCTGTATAGGGTTTCTGAGGAGCAACTTGTGGGTTTGAACTGCTGACCTTATGGTTAGCAGTACAGTGTTTATCATAAGCGCCATACCAGGACTCCCAGGGCACCTTAGATGGTAGTTTTATTCTTGAATGCTGTCATTACTTCAAGGGGGCCTGGAAGTGGAAGTGGAAGGATGGGAAACAGATAGCAGCAGAAATTAATTTTGAACAAGATTTGTTCAGCATGTTGAGTTTATACTGTCGAGTCAACAAAAGGGAAAGTGTGTGTACAAATATTTACAAATGAATACAGGTATAAGCAGTACTGACATAGGGAAGGGTTTATAAAATTAAGACCACCGAGTAGCTTATGATAACATTGCCATATAGATCTGCAACAAATTTTTATGTAAAGAAAGCTTTAGCTAATTGTTTTCATTGAGAATTCCATCTTGCTTGGCAGTAGCTATTATTGTTGTAGAGGAAAAATCAAGGACTTGTATGAGAGAAAGTTACTAGGGGAGAAGGGCTGGCAACAGTTTTTGGTATAGTTTATAAAAGTTTTCTGATAATTAGAGCTGTCCAACAAAATAGACACCATGACAAAGTATTAAGTTCTTCGTGAAAATATGTTTTCACATGGAGACTGGTTGATTTATCTGCTAGGATTCTTGCATGGGGATGGACATTGGATTAAATAATTACCGAAGTCATTTCCAATTGGAAGATTGAAGGATTTTTACTCCAACTGAAGTGTGTCCATATACCATTCAGTCAGCTAATATTGAATGTCACCTCTGTTTTATTAAAAGGTTAAAAGAAGGGGGTTGTTGCTTCTCTCTTACCCTTCTATCTTCCTCCTCTTGGTGTGCTTGAACAAAGCCAAGAACTTTGAGGCTTAGTCATTAGCTTGGATCTCCGCATTTGGAATTTGAGAAGCTTGAGCCAGGTGTTGGTAGTGATGTCACAAAAGCTGCTGTCCTTTCTTGTTTGGTAGAGTTAGGGGGAAGTCCATCTCATGCACCTAGAAACATCAAAAATATAAGTGTGTGCTGCTAAGAATTTTGGTTCAATGCTTAGAATTTTTGTTAAAGAGAAAGTCATTATAGATAATGGCAGGGCTCTAAAATTTTTTTTTCCCAATTTTTTTTAGAACTGTGTTGACATGGGAGCTCTGTGATGCCATGATATTGATGGATCTCATTGGCCATTGTCTTGTCGGGAAATTGCCTACACAGTCAGGTGACTGTGAGATCAGCTCTCTTTTCGGCTGAGCACCTTTTTGATAGATTTTTGTTTGTTTTTTGTATGTTTCCCATGTCATAAAAGTGGTTTTGTTGTTCCTTTGCATACCTTTCACAGAGAAGATTGAAATTCATTTTGTACCTATACTCTTGGTTTTGGATTGTTCATGTGTTTTAAATTATTTGAACTGCTGTCATTTCCTACAACCTAAAGATTGACTGAAATAAGCCTGGAGAAGGAATTCTTGTCTGCATTAGGAAAGAGGAAAACAAGAAAATTTTTTTTAATCTGTGAATTCTGAAAGAATTTAATTTTTAAATATTAAATATAAGGAACTAATTTTTTTTTTAGCTTGAATTTTGAATTTGAGCTATTATAGGCCAAGATTCTTATGTATAGGTAGCATATTTCTGATAGTTATGATATTGAAATGTCAGTAAATTAACTGATAATATGAGGGGCTTCAAAAAGTTCATAGAAAAATTCCACTATCTTTTCATTCCATTTTCCACAAACTTTTTGAAGCCCTCATAGTATGTAGCCTGAAAGAGAATGTATGGATCATAGCTTATGGGGCTGTAATGAACTGAAAGTTTTCATTGTTTAAACCTGGAAAGACTCTTAAAAGTCATCTAATCCAAGTCTAGGTTATAGAAGCTACAACAGAAACCCTGTAAGTGTAAGTAATTTGACCAAGTCACCCAACTAGTTTGGCAATTCACAGGTATAGGTTAAAGTGGTATGATGGTAAAGTGGTAGTGGGAGTAGTGAGTGGCTTATGGTTAGTAGGAGTAATGACAGTATGGTTGATGACTCTTTAGAAAGAAGAGTTTCTAAAACTTAGAGATGGATTGGGATAAGGATGACCCTGAAAAATATAAGAATGATATGAAGTCCCTTAGAATTTCTGATTTGCTAAGTTAAACCTCATATTAATTGATTTGGTGGTTGCTGATGTGATGGTTGGTTCACTGAATTATTCAGTTGTCCAGTATAGATTGACTACATACTATGTTGTAGGGTGTTATGTTGTATTATGTTGTAGGGTGTTACGTTGGGGCTACAAACATGATTTCAGCATGCCCCTGCACTCAGGGATCTCTTGTACTAGAACAGTGCATGAGAGACTACTTTGTATTTTGCCATCTCTCAAATAAAACATCCAGTGTTTAGTAATCAAGCTAGTTACCTACTGGTTTTATAGACCACAGATCTTTACTGCTTATTTACCCAGCTATTTTAAGGAATGCAGAAAATTCGGAGAGTGGTGCTGTGGACTAATGCGCTGGACTGCAAGGTTGGTTTGAACCGCAAGATCAGTGGTTCAAGCTCACCAGCCACTCCTCGGAAACCCTACACAGGGTCGCTATGGGTCGGAACCAACTCAAAAGTACTTAACAACAACATCAACAAAGTGCATCCTGGATAGAAGTATGAGGAAAACATACTGGGAGTTACTCGTAGACTTTTGGTTGTTTAGGAAGAGCTGTTTCTGAGACATAATCATTATCTGTTGCTTTTGAGAATTTAACTTTTGATTTTCCCCAGAGGCAGGGGTTGGTGGGTGTGGTAGGATAGGTGTGTTCCTCGTGACTTTATGAACAAATCCTCTTCTACAGAGAACTGTAAATCTGTCTGAGGTGGCCAAATTGGGTTAGAAAGTGTTCTTGGTTGGGACTGTTAATCTCAGAGAAATGTGTATTGGTGCTGGAATGTCAAATCAGGGACATAGTTTTTGCCAAAATCCAGTCTGAAAGAAGATCTCTTTTTCAGGGGCACATATTTGACCGTCATTTGTCCTGGGTGGAGAAATAGGTACATTTGGGACTGGCATGTTTACTGGTGAAATGGTGGGCAAAGAATTACTTTTTTTGTTAAAAACCGTTGGAATCCCCTCTGCTTTGTGGATTTGCTTCTTGTTTTTATTTTGTGTAGTTCTGGATTATTAGCTCTCCGTTTACTCACTTCAGTTCCACTGCTAGTATCAAAATAGTTAACTGTAAAGTTATCCAGAGTATAATATTCATTCATTCAACAAATGTTTATTGAGGGCCTGCATGCCAAGTGATACATGTTGGGGATACATTAGTGAGTAAGACACACAAGGTCTTTTATCCTCAAGGAAGAGGCCAGACAGCAACTAATTAATTTCTGAGGATACCAAGTACTAGGAAGAAAGTAAACAAGTTACCATGTTAGTAATGCAGATCAGGAGTTCTTTAGACTGGCAGTCTCCCTTTTCCATTAGTTTGGGTAAGCAAGCTGACAGTGGAAATGTAATATTCTAGAAAGGTAGAGGAAAAGCATTATTTGTAGTGGTATTATGTTTTTACGGTTAGTGTGTTATAAATTAATGCTAATGAGTAATTAGGAACTTAAATGTTACTCTCCATAATAAATTTTGAACTGGTTTCATTTTAAATTTAGTTGAAATGAATGAGCTAGGATAGTTTCCCCATTTGGTTAGAGAGCTGCAGAAATTGGACTGTGATCATTCTGTTGCAGTGTAATTTGAGCCTATGTGTTTATTTCCTCCTCCAGGTGGAGGGCTGAATTTTGATCTATGTCCTACCTACATCCAGCTGCCTGCAACTACTTAATAATCACATGACCCTGGACATGGATGCTGTCCTGTCGGATTTTGTCCGTTCCACAGGAGCAGAGCCAGGGCTGGCCCGTGATCTCCTGGAAGGTAAGGGGTCATTGGGGGAGACTAAAAAGAGAAGGTAAAATGTAATATTTATTGTTAGGATGATTGTTATGGAGCATTTAAGGTAATCAGCAATCCACATTGTGTCTGGCAGGCCTTACATCTCAGTTCTTTTTAATGTTCTTTGTGTATGACCCACCATAATTTTAACATTCAAAATCTTTTTTTTTTTTCTTTTCACTTTGAACTTACTGGAGTAGCGTTTTCTACTGTTAGTTAATGTGCAGGGTATTTAAGTGAAACTTTACATTCATCTACTAAAAGCATGATTCTAGATCTACAAGACTTCCTTTCTGTAAACCTAAAGGCATGAAGTGACTGGCTTACAAACTTTCATGAAGGTGTTTAGGGTTAGAACTAGACAGGTAAGATAGAATTCCCACTGAGTAGTTTTCCTCTAGTCCAGATGGGTCTGGTGATGATGGGGATAGGATTTTATGATTCAATTGTGAGCAATTGTTATCAGGACCTATGGCAATTCTCACAACTGTAAATGTAGAAGAGGTGTAACTAAAAGTGGGGAGCAGTTAATTGGTCAATTCTGGAACAGAGGACCCTAGGACCATCAAGAGGGAAGAGCATGAGAGGAACGACATATTCTAACCAGAATAGCAGCAACAACAGAGATGATGACATAGAGAGAGAGCGAGCAGCAGAGGACTATAGACCCATGGACTGAGAAAGGCATTGTGCCTGCAGAGGCTGGCTTGTGAAATGTGTCCTTTGGACATTTAAATGAATATATATTTTCAATGTGGTATGTGTACATCAAAAATAAGAGTGGGGGCATAATAGAGGTAAATATTCTGAGCTAATGGTGCATGGAGGGGATTGTAAGCATTGCAATGATTTGTTGAATGTAAAACTGATGATCTGCCCTGTAAACCTTCACTCAATTCACAATAAAAGCTTTTTTAAACAAACAAACTTAACAGCCACTGAGTTGATTCCAATTCATAGGGACCCTGTAGGGTAGAGTAGAAATGCTCCATAGAGTTTCTGAGGCTGTAAATCTTTACGAAAGCAGACTGTCTGATCTTACTCTCATGCAGTGGCTGGTAGGTTCAAACCACTGACCCATCGGTTAGCAGCCAAATGCTTAACCTATTGTGCCAGTAGGGCTTCTAGGTGACTTTTGGATTTTCATATTTGGTAGTACCCATGGTTTTGTTTCTTTCCTGACTGAGTTTGCATAGGTAATTGTATGGTGAATTATTAATGTTTTTATTTTGTGTCTTGTTTTTACTTGAATCATATATTCAAGTAAAATATGTGACTGTTTTAGATTTTATGGTCCTGGAGGGTCCCAGTCATGACCATATAATCCTTTTTTCACAGACATTTTTTGATGAAGAAAATATATAATGACACATACAGGCAAGTTTACTGGGAAAACAAGTTTTTAGCATATGCAGGTGATTTTTTTAGAATGCTGGCCCTAAACCAAGTGTGACAGTTTGGCATTTGCTTAGTTACCTGTAAGAATTTCATGAGTTTGGAAACGGATCAAAATGTTAAATTCCTGCCCATTAATTCAGTATAACCTTATCCATAACTTGCATTTTCAGTTTCATCTTATAATACATTTCCCCATACTTCATCCAATTCCAAATTGTTATCGTATCCTGGTCATTTTAGGCTGTTTCCTAAGACTGCAGTATCCATGTCCAAATCATCCTTCTCCAAGATTGCAATTCAAATGCTTGTTCCATAAAGCAACCCTTAACTATTTCTCATTCCCCTTATACATGTGTTGAACACATAATAGGTGTAAGGTACTCAACATATGTAATTTAATTCTGACACCATAACTTAATTCTCACACCAACCTGGAATACAGGTTTAATTATTCCAATATTACTAAAAAGAAAAAACAATAACAACAACAACAAAAAAAAAACCTGAGCTGCAGAGAAGTTAAGTAGGATTTGAACCTAGGCAATCTGGTTTTAGTCTGATTTTGAATGAACAATTATGTCACAAATAATAGCTTGCATGCAAGCACATACACACTCATGTGTGCAACTGCCCAATTATAAATGATTCTAAGTGCTGTGAAGGAAAAGTTGAGGGTGCTAAGAGAGTTTAAGAGAAAAAACTGATTTAGACTTAATATACAGGAAGCCTTTTTGAGGCAGTGACATCTGAGCTGAATCCTGAATGGTAAGTAAAAATAACAAGACAAAGAGATGTAGGAAAGAGTGCCTATGCAGAAGAAAGCTTACACAAGTGTCCTAAGGTGAAAAACTTGAAACTTGCTCTCCAGCATAGAGATACTAAAGCAAATGGAAAAAATGAGAAGGTAAAGAACTGAACAGAAAATTTCAAAGGGCAGCTCTAGAAGACAAAGTCAAATAGTATAATGAAATGTGCCAAAAAAAAAAGTGCAAAGACCTGCCATCGGAAAACCAAAAGGGAAGAACACCTCAGCATTTCTCAAGCTAAAAGAACTAAGGAAAAAAATTCAAGCCTCAACTTGTGATACTGAAGGATTCTTTAGGCAAAATATTGAATGATGCAGAAAGAATCAAAAGAAAATGGAAGGGCCTGGGGACACCTGAGCCCATGGACAAGGACATAGCCACGGAGGGCTAGAGCTGAGAGTGAAGCATCCAGCTGATATGAAGTGAGGGGAGACGCACAAGAATGCCCAGACTTGCAAATAGTACCCATTTGACCTAGCCTTGATGGCTTGATAATCAGAATTCAACTAGAGGAAGAGTTAAAAAAAAAAATTGTTGATAAAGGGAATGAATGTAAATTGCTAGGATTTTATGAACTTGACCTATATCTGTGGATGTAGTAGCTCAAAATACCAACTGAGAGGGAAGGAGTCTTCATATCAAGTATCAATGCTATCCCCTATGTATACAGTATAGATAGGTATGGGCAACTTAGATATTGGCTACCTAAAATAAGGGGCGATAAAAGCATGAAGTGACTGGCTTACAGGTTTTCAAGAGGGAGTTCCACTTGAGAGCTGTGCGGAAGAAGGTAGAATTCCTACTGAATAGTTTACATCTTGTCTAGACGGGTCTGGTGAAAAGAGATGGGGATAAGATTCTTATGATTCAATAGTAATTGTTACAGCTGTCACAACTGTAAAGGTAGACGTTTTATAACAAAAATGGAGCAGTTAATCTTACAATCCAGAAACAGAGGGCCCTAGGACCATCAAGGGAAAAGAGCATATGTGGAATGTGGTACCCTATCCAGAGAAGCAGCAACACCAAAGATGGAGGCAGAGAAGGGAGCAGCTGAGGACTCTGGCCTCATAGAAAGAGAGAAACTGGGTGCTGGTGGCCAGGAGGCAGACCTGCCCTTTGGTTGTTTAAATATATTCCCAAGTGTTTTTGTGTACACCCCCCCCACACACACACACACACTCCAAAAAAATATATGGGAATGGAAGCAAATACTGTTGAATGATAATGCACGGAGGAGATTGTAATCATTGCAATAAAATGATGGTGTAAAGCTGATGTTCTCCCACGTAAACTATCACTCGGTTTACATTAAAAATTTAAAAAGAAAGGAATACAGAGTTGTATCAAAAAGAAATGGTTGATGCTTACCCATTTCAAGAGGTAGCAGCATATGATCAAGAGTCAGTGGTACTGGAGAAAGAAGTCCAAGGTATGCTGAAGGCATTGGCAGATAACAAGGCCCCAGGAACTGGTGGAATACAAATTGAAATCTTTCAACAAACTGATGCAGTACTGAAGGTATTCACTCAACTATGCCAAGAAATATGGAAGACAGCTTCCTAGCCAACTCATGGGAAAGATCCTCATTTGTGCCCATTCCAAAGAGAAGTGACCTAATGGAATGTGAAAATCATCAAACGATATCATTAGTAGCACATGCAAATAAAATTTTGCTAAAGATAATTTACAAACAGCTGCTACTGTACATTGATAAGGAATTGCCAGAGGTTCAAGCCGGATTCAGATGAGGACATGGAATGAGGGATATCATTGCTGATGTCAGATAGATCTTGGATGAAAGCAGAGAATACCAGAAAGTTGTTTACCTGTACTTTATTGACTATGCAAAGGCTTTCAACTGTATGAATCACAACAAGCTATGGAAAACATTGCCGAGAATGAGTATTCCAGAACACTTAATTGTGCTCATGAGGAACCTGTAAATAGACCAAGAGGCAGTTGTTTGAACAGAACAAGGGGACACTGATTGGTTTAAAATCAGGAAAGATCTGCTCCAGGGTTGTATTCTTTCACCACCCTATTTGTTGCAGACCGTGTAAGACTAGTCAGAGGTTCGAGGCCCTCTAGGGCCGAGTGTAACAAATGAGGCCACTGGCAGTTAATGGCAAATTGCTTTCATATTAATATTCAGGTATATATATTAAATTAATACACTGGAGCCTTTGACAATCCACAGATAAATGTGGTATTTTCCTAAAGCCAAGACTAAAGGTTGCTTTTGTCTTTATCTCTCACCTTCCCCCAACTATGCTCAGGGGCTATAGATATGTTAATTGGGCCTGAGAATCCAAGTTGCTAGCCTGGGATTTGAACCAGCGAAGTATGATGTAAAGTTACCTGAATGTCTGGAAAAGTACTGATGTTAGCTGTACCTTGCCTAAGTCCCTCCCAGCTTGATGTGAAACTCCTCCCCTAAATAAAAGGAAGGCGCAGAACGAATCCAGGTGCATTACTACTGGCAAGGCATGCGCTTCAGCATGCAGGGTGCACAGTCCAGCCTTGCAACCGTACTTCCTGTTTAGCTAACATGTTCACTATGCAGGATATTACCGCCTTTGTGGCTGAGATGTTTGCAATGCAGGATCTGCCTGATACTAGTCCAGCATTCACTCTGGTTTCGGATTGTCTCTTTGTCTCTCTCTTTGTCTCCTTTCTGTCTTTCTGTGTATTCTTGATATATATGAGTCGCCGTCGGTATCCTCTCCTCGTGAACCGAACCCCTATGTCGAGGCGGGTCCCCGACACCTATTCACA